TACCCAATCTTAGTTTTGTCTTGCCCTCAATTGTCGAGTAGAGTTAAGCCTGATTTTATTAGCGATTATGGTAAAGCACTTAACAATTTTTATTTAATTAAATAATACATCAAAGAATATAGACTAATAACATGCAAAAAATAGACAAATTCACTTACTTCTAAAAATTTTCCTGGCTTTCTACAATTCATCCAAACTAGTCGTTAACTTTCCCACAGGAACAAAATTGCTACTCCGAGTGACATTGACGATTCTCTGTTCAAACACAATGTTATACAAAATGCCATTTGATATATGAAAACCTTGACTTTCTATTGGTTATAAATAATATATAATGAACGTAAGAGAGAACTATCAACCAATTGTGAAAGGGAGGATGTGGCAGGAGGGGTATGATTTTCTCTTTGATAGCTCTGTAACAAAACAGAATTGAAGGCCTTAAAAATTATGATCTGTTTAAGCAATAACGATTTTATAGAGAGCATTTCACATTTAATTTCTTGCATTTTCAGGGGTGATGGATTAAATAGGGATGATGACATGCTAAGACAAAATTTGTCATGTGTGTTACACTAGTGGAAATTCAGGATTTTTTTTATATATTTCCTTTTAGAATTAAGAACTTAAAACTTGTATACTATTAAAATATGGATTGTTAGCTAAGATTTGATGCTATTCTAATTGGTATAAATAAACAAAAAAGTAGTTTAATAAAACCTTGTGTCATGTGCAGTAAAAGGTACCTGTGACAAAAGAGTTAAGTGAGAGTTCACTAATGGCTAGTGGCATGCAACACTCCAAGGAAGATGCACAGGAAAAATAACTTTGTGTGTGTAGAGGTGAGTATCTACCAGAAATGCATTTTCAGGCAAGGAAAATTTTAGTGTTTACAAAGCCATAAACTATAAAATCAAACCCACATCTCACATCCTCTCTTTCACAAGTTTCCAACAGTTCTCTGATTTTTTATTCTATATTATTTTAACCAATAGAAAGCCAAAATCATAATCTACCAAATGACGATTACATTGTTTTCTGTACAGAAAATTGTCTATTATGCCTTCAGTTTGAAACTTTTTCTCATGATATTCACGTCGACAAGCTTAACTGAGTTTTTAAAGGCTCTGATTTCATAGTTAAAAAGTCAGGAAAATTATTATAGTTATGCACAAAGCAAACAAAGTCCTTTGATATTATTCTGATTGTTAGGTGCATTATTTAATTAAATAATTATTCATTGTATAGTATCATACCAATAGTATAAAAAAAAAGTAGGCTTAAGTTTCATCAACAGTCGATAGCAAAAAACAACAACTAGAAGACCCAGATAAGCATTATATTTGTTTTTCTTGTGTATTCTTTACTTATTATTATAAAAGTAACTAAAATGTAAAAATTAGAAACTTATTAGCTTGGATTTGGGAAGATAATGAAACTAGTAATAATACTTCGTCATGAGGTATGCTCATGAGCATCAACATAATTCAATATGCTTTACAACTTGTGTGGTAGGATTATTAGTTAGACGTGATACAAACAGTAATAAAACAATAGAATTAAGTATAAACAGATGTATACTATTACAATGAGCTTTAAGCTATTTATTATAAACAATTGAAGTTTCATGTTTTAATTTGCATTCATTTTAGAAAGGAAAAAAAGTAATTAGGTTTACTTGGATTTTTTTTAGGATTACGAGGTTGGTCAAATTGACCAGTTAGCTGTAGAGTTAGGGTAGAGAAAATAACAGCTAAAATATAGTTTTTGCAGAGAAAAATGCTAGATATTTAATTAGGAGGTTTTAGAGATAATGCATACAAAATTTCACAATTATAAGATAAAAGTATTTATAATCTTAACATAAAAATCACTTTGCACTCAGAGCAGTCAGCACTCTGTCTCCACTTATTTATGAATAAATAAATTTGTATTAAAAGTATTTAATTAAAAAATCAGATTTTTTGGGTATGTAAGACTTGTAATGTTTTACTGACAGCTTGCCTAAAGTCATGAAAATACACAAAACATGGCAACAAATATGGTACAGAAATTATGGTGATCACTTTGGAGTCATGAACTTGGTCAAGTTGACCAAGCCTGTTGCAAGAAAGTTAGTATATCAGTTTATAAAAAGTTGCCTCATACATTTTACTCTCTTAATATCCCACCATTTTCTGCTTGGTTTATTTAAAGCTAGTTTTGCAGATTCCCCAAAATCTTAAGGGCACAGACCACTAACTTTCCAGAAACTGTAGTCACTGTTAATTACAAGAGATCTGGGGTTTTGCACATGTGAGGTTTTACGTGTGTTTTTTTCTTTGGTCATCTAGACCAGACGTCCAAACTGCTCTAGTGCAGGGAACTTGGTGCGAGCTGTTCACTCTTGGTTTGGCACAGTGTTCTCAACTACTTTCACTCCAGACCATCCTCAAAGCTGTTGCCGACCATCTTAAGAGAAGTGATGAACAAGGTCAGCTTCTAATGAACTTTATAGAGTTACATTCTACTTCTTAATATTAAATATTAACATTTCTTAAATTGCATATGTAAAGAGATATGTATGGTATTAATGTTCTTTGGGAATTAGATAAATTGAATACTGCTAATTTCTGGTTAAGATGGACCTCTTTGGATGAATTTCTTATGTGAATGACTTACTGAATAATGTTTTTCATCAGCGTTTGTAACGCTGGCATAATTGTCTTTTGGTTCCTCTCCAGTTTTATGTAATTTTCTATTGATCCTTTTTATGAACTTTCACTGTTTGTGTTCGACTCTAGCCAGAGTAATAAGTATACTTAGTTTTAAAATCAAGCCAGATTAACAAGTATACTTTGTTTTAAAATCAAGCCACATTAACAAGTATACTTTGTTTTAAAATCAAGCCACATTAACAAGTATACTTAGTTTTAAAATCAAGCCTTTTAAAACTAAGTATACTTGTTAATCTGGCTTGAGTAAAACTAAGTATACTTATTAATCTGGCTTGAGTAAAACTAAGTATACTTATTAATCTTCAAGCCAGATTAACAAGTATACTTAGTTTACTCAATCCAGATTAACAAGTATACTTAGTTTTACTCAAGCCAGATTAACAAGTATACTTAGTTTTACTCAAGCTAGATTAACAAGTATACTTAGTTTTAAAATCAAGCCAGAGTAATAAGTATACTTAGTTTTAAAATCAAGCCAGATTAATAATTATACTTAGTTTTAAAATCATGCCAGATTAACAAGTATACTTAGTTTTAAAATCAAGCTAGATTAACAAGTATACTTAGTTTTAAAATCAAGCCAGATTAACACGTATACTTAGTTTTAAAATCAAGCCAGATTAACAAGTATACTTAGTTTTAAAATCAAGCCAGATTAACAAGTATACTTAGTTTTCAAATCAAGCCAGATTAACAAGTATACTTAGTTTTAAAATCAAGCCAGATGAACAAGTATACTTAGTTTTAAAATCAAGCCAGATTAACAAGTATACTTAGTTTTAAAATCAAGCCAGATTAACAAGTATATTTAGTTTTAAAATCAAGCCAGATTAACAAGTATACTTAGTTTAAAATCAAGCCAGATTAACAAGTATACTTAGTTTTAAAATCAAGCCAGATTAACAAGTATACTTAGTTTTACAATCAAGCCAGATTAACAAGTATACTTAGTTTTACTCAAGCCAGATTAACAAGTGTACTTAGTTTTAAAATCAAGCCAGATTAACAAGTACACTTAGATTTAAAATCAAGCCAGATTAACAAGTATACTTAGTTTTAAAATCAAGCCAGATTAACAAGTATACTTAGTTTTAAAATCAAGCCAGATTAACAAGTATACTTAGTTTTAA